GCAGCTACAGCCTTATGAAATGTATTTCTTAAGTGATAAGACTTCAAAGTCTAAATTATTCCTTCATCCACAGGCTGCAAAATGGATACATTAGCAGGCATGAAAACAGTAATCTCCTTGTACATCTCCATCAGAGCTCTTGGGTGACCAAGTGCATTGTCAGTGAACAGTAATATTTTGAAAGAAATTTTTTTTTTTTTTTTTCCTGAGCAGTAAGTCTCAACAGTGGGCTTAAAATAATTCAGTAAACCATGTTATAAACAGATGTGCTGCCATCCAGGCTCTGTTGTTCCATTTCTGGAGCACAGAGAGCGTATATTTAGCATAACTCTTAAGAGCCCTAGGATTTTTGGAATGGTCAATGTGCATTGGCTTCAACTTCAAGTCACCAGCTGCATTAGCCCCTAACAAGAGAGTCAGCCTGTCCTTTGAAGCCAGGCATTGATCTCTCTTCTCTAGTTATGAAAGTCCTGGATGGCATCTCGACACCTTCTTCCACCTTAAGGCTGTTTCATCTACATGGAAAATCTGTTGTTTCATGTAGCCACATTATCTTAGTTTGATCTTCTGGATAACTTGATGTGGCGTCTGCATTGGCACTTACTGCTTCACCTGGCACTTTTATGTTATGAAGATAGCTTCTTTCTGTAAATCTCATGAACCTCTGTTATTGTCAAACTTTCTTCTGCAGCTTCCTCACTTCTCTCATAGAATTGAAGAGTTAGGGCCTTTCTCTGGATTAAGCCTTGGCCTAAGGGAATGTTGTGGCTGGTCTGCCTTTCTATCCAGACGATTAAAACTCTCCGTATCAGCAATAGGCTGCTTCACTTTCTTATCACTTGTGTTCACTGAAGTAGCACGACTAATTTCCTTTGAGAACTTTTCCTTTGCATTCACAACATGGCTGTTCGGTGCAAGAGGCCTAGCTTTCAGGCTATCTTGGCTTTCAACATGCCTTCCTCACTAAGCTTAACCATTTCTAGTTTTTGATTTAATGTGAAAGATGTGTGACTTTTCCTTTCACTTAAAGTTAGAAGCCACTGTCAGGTTATTAATTGGCCTAATTTCAATACTGTTGTGTCTCAGGGAATAGGAGGCCCAAGGAGAGGGAGAAAGAGAGGGGAATGACTGGTTGGTGAACAGTCAGAACACACACATGGGCTAGGTACAGTGGCTCACGCCTGTAATCCCAGCACTTTGGGAGGCTGAGGCAGGAGATCATGAGGTCAGGAGGTCAGGAGATGTTGGCTAACACGGTGAAACCCTGTCTCTACTAAAAATACAAAAACTTAGCTGGGCGTGGTGGCAAACACCTGTAGTCCCAGCTACTTGGGAGGCCAAGGCAGGAGAATCACTTGAACCAAGGAGGCGGAGGTTGCAGTGCACCGAGATTGCGCCACTGCACTCCAGCCTGGCAACAGAGTGAGACTCCGTCCCAAAAACAAACAAAAAAACACATATTATCAAGTATTGGTTAAGTCTCACACAGACATGGTTCAAATATCAATTAAGCCTTAACGTGGATATGCTTCGTGGTGCCCCAGAACAATTATAACATCAAAGATCACAGATCACAAATCATAACGAATATAACAGTAATGAGAGTTTGAAATATTGTGAGACTCACCAAAACGTAATACAAAAGACACAGAGGTACATGCTGCTGAAAAAAATGGCACCAATAAATTTGCTCAATGCAAGGTTACCTCAATTTGTAAAACCTTCAATTTGTAAAAAACACTTCTGTGAGGTGCAATAAAGTGACACACAATAAAACAATGTATGTCTGTATCTAAGTGGAGAGGTCAAAGTAGCAATGAGTGCCCAGTAGGCAGAAAATATAGCAAGTGCTACGAGAAAAGGTGCAGTTTGGAAAGGTGTCACGATGGTGACCCTTGATCTGATCACTGGAAGTTAAATTTAAGTACAAAGACAAGGCAAATGGCATGGACAAAAGTACACTGGTGGGGAGGTGCAAGGCCTATTAAGGGAAGTGATCAGACCAATTTAGTTTTAAGAGGGCTCTGTTGGAAAGTAAAGATCCTGAAGAAACGGGTAAGGAACAAACAAGTGTTACAAGTAAGCCCAGTGAACAATGGGGAAATAATAAAGATTTCTGAACAGGAGCGTGGGCCTAGTGTTATTTCTGTAATATACTGTAATCTAGCTGCAGTGTGCAAGGAAAGAGTAAGAACTTGGAATCAATTAGGTCACAGTGTGAAAGGGACAAAGCCTACCAACAATCCATAGATGAGTTCAAAGGTGAAAATTAAAAAAAAAAAAAATCTGTAGCCAGGTGCAGTGGCATGCATCTGTAGTCCCAGCTACTTGGAAGGCCAAGGTGGGAGGACAGCTTGAACCCAAGAAGAGGCCAGCCGAGGTAACGCAGCAAGACTTTGTCTCCAAAGAACAAAACCAAAAACCACTGGAAAGCATTTCCATGGTGAAGATATGGCAGTCTTTGTTCACGGCTATGAGGATCAATAAACACTTCTGGAATAAGATCAGTAAGCTGTATTGGTTCCACGTCACGTCAGAGGAAGGCTGCCCTCAGAAGAGGAAGAAGGGAGTAAAGAAGGGAATCCGTAAAGAGCGAGGCACTAGAGAGAAGTGTGCTTTGGGTTCATTTTAGGCTTAAAACAAATATGCAGACATGCAAACACTACAGTAAGTTATTTGTTTATCCTGGAGAAATAATTTGTTATACTCCATCATAAAATGTACATTCTTTAGACAGCTGAACATATAATAGAAATATAAACATACCTGATCTTCAGGTCAGCCTTCCAAAGTTTAATCTTTTCAAAGCTACCTACCTTTGACATTGAGGGAACAATTCAATCTCAGTGACTGAAACATCAAATTCTGATCCATTGAGATGTGCCTAGACCAATTCAGATAGATAGCAAACTTACCTGTTAATACTGTTGAGAGAAAAATACTTCAAAACCCACTCATGTAAAAACACGACCCACTTTTAGGACAACGCAGTTCCTAGTCAAAGAGAAGGGGTTGGCTCAGATGATAGTTTTACATTAATCCTTACAACACCCCTGTGAGGTGGGTTTAGCATTAATCTAATTACCTTGGTTCCACAAGGAGAGGCAATACAAGCAAGGAACTGTGCCAGGATTACAGGGTAAATCCATGAAGACATCTGAAATCACAGCATTTTGGGCCATGAGGATCACTTGAGGTCAGGAATTGAGGCCAGCCTGGCCAACATGGTGAAACCCTTTCTCTACCAAAAATATAAAAAAAATTAGCCAGGCGTGATGGCGTGCGCCTATAATCTCAGCTACTGGGGAGGCTGAGGCAGGATAACTGCTTGAACCCGGGAGGCGGAGGTTGCAGTGAGCCGAGAATGCTCCACTGCACTACAGCCTGGGTGATAGCGTGAGGCTCTGTTTCGTTAAAAAAAAAAAAAAAAAATTGGTTTTCTTAGGCCTTTTCTCTCAGTTGTCTAATTGTATTTTCAGATGGAAGCAATACAAATTAAAATGCAGCTGAGCCATTTCAAGTAAAATGGATATAAAATTGAAGCACCAAAAAAGCTGAAGCCAAAAATATATTCATCTGCCATACAGAAATAGAAGTACTTTGTGGTATTATATGGGAAGCTATGCTGATATCCAGCATATAGTTATGAAATCTGGAGCAGTTCCTGGTGCCACTACGTTATTTTCTAGGGCAATATGGCCAACTTCCATTACTCATGGGCTGAATATTTTATCTTTCATTTTTTTTTTTTTTGAGACAGAGCTGTGCTGTTGCCCAGGCTGGAGTGCAGTGGTGCACTCTCGGCTCACTGCAACCTCCACTTCCTGGGTTCAAGCGATTCTTGTGGCTTAGCCTCCAGAGGATCTGGGACTACAGGCGTGTGCTGCCATGCCTGGCTAATTTTTGTATTTTTAGTAGATGGGGTTTCCCCATGTTGGTCAGGCTGGTCTCAAACTCCTGGCCTCAAGCGATCCACCCACCTTGGCCTCCCACAGTGCTGGGATTACAGGTGTGAGCCACTGTGCCCAGTCTGAATATTTTATCTCATACTGTTTACCTCTTAAACCTATCCTTGCTCACTAGAATTGCTTGTCAACATTATGTTGGGATAGAGAATACTGGTGACATGTCAGCTAGTTTTACTATTTACAGCTGCTTTAATAAGTTTAAAGCTAACAATGAGTTTTGGACTACCCGTGCAGCTGATTTGCTGCATAATTTCCCCAATATAAAGTTAATTAATATTAGATCAAAGGCAACACAGGTTGGTCATTTAAACAAAAATTTTGAAAGAAAAATAAAATTTCAAATTTTTTTTCCCATAAATATCCGCAGTGTAACACACATCTTTGTCTAAAGTATTAGTTGTCACAGGAGGCATTTGGCTGACATTTTGTTAATATAAATATTTTCCTGAGAAGTCTAGTTTACATGAACTGCCAGTTCCTCTACCTCAGAACCCCAAATGACCAACATGTCCAGTCCTCATATTCATTGACAAAGAGTGTTTCCTTCCTATTAAAAGATCACTTAAGGAAGACCTTTCTACAACTGCATCATGGCGAGATGAGCAAATGCTAGTTTGTTCTTTTCAGCCTGAGAAAAACACCTGAGTTTTTGTAATTTTTTGAAAACTGTAAATATAAAAGTTCTCTTCAAGAGAAGCACCACCATCCTCATGAACTGCATTGCACATCAAGGGACAGAACTAGTATTAACGAAGTGTTTACTTCAGGTTAACTGGTCCCATAAATCACATTTGTCTTTAACAATGGGGTAAGTTTTGAAAAATCAAAAGGAAATCAAAGGGAAAGCTATCACAAACTATGAAAAAAGAAGTCTAGGGCAACTGATAAAAATACTCCAAGAAATGCAGCTGAATGTCATAATGTCACAAGGAGACTCTACAGAAGAAGTTTTCTCTGATTTCCATTAATGTTTAAATGATCTGATGTATAAATTATCTCCTGTCCCACAAACTGAAAACAAGTCACAAAATCCACATTAGAATATAAGTTTTTTAATTTTTATAAATAACTTATCTGTTACAAAGATAGTTTACCCAGCTAAATCACAAAACCATCAACTCAAGATATCCAAATTACGTTTTATTAATAAAACAAGTAAAAACTGATTTATCAATCTTCACATAGAACTGCAGATGAAGCTGAAAAACAAGGCCTATTTTTAAAATAAAATGCATCAAACCTAAGGGCTTTGGGTCTACGGTTTAATTACCTAGGATTGTCTTATTTCTTCCCATATACAAAATGCAAAGCCTGAAAGTTAAGGCTCTGACATTCATAGAGATCAACTTTAATAATCCCATTTAAAACACAGCCACTTGCAAACATTTACAGTGGGTGATAGTCTATATTATCTTCCATCCTTTGCTCTATTTCAGCACTTCCCTTAGCCCCATTCTAAGCACTCATATAATTTCATAATTCTGTCCTTTTAAATGCATACTGTTATTTTTTCTTGATTTCATTTAGTTATATACATTCCTGATCATCTGAATATTTATTTTCCTTACAAAAATATATCATCAAAATAAAGAGATGCTTGAGGTTGCTTCAGTGTTCAAGTTTGCTTGTTTTTCTTTTTTTCCAGCTTTTCTTCGGTTGTCCTAAATATGGCTAGCCTTGTTTTATAAATACACATGATACTGTCACCAAGTCAGGATTAGAAATGGACTGCCCCAACAGTAAAGCATTTAAACTTCTCTCCAAAAAAAGGGCTGCAGGTACTGCTGCTGTTGGTGGTTTTGAGACTGTACTTTCCCAATAACAATCGCTTGTGCAAGTTCTGTGGGACACCAAGCAGATGAAGTTTAACCTTGTTGTTCTGTCAGTGGGTTAAAAATATCTTTTGTTTTAAGCTTCCCTGTGGAAGACAAAACACTGTGTTGTGTCACCCACTGCTCAAGTCAGTATTTAATGTGACCTACAGACATCACTTCTGTAATATCATCTGCAATTCACTGTGCAGCATCTCCCTGTCTTCACACAACATTGGAACTCATAAGGGCAAAGTACAGAATAAGTAGAGGAAAGTTATTCTGTGCATAGTTTCATCTCATTAATGCTTTTTTATTTTAAGGCATTGTTCCTCTCAGGTAAGGCGTAAAAAGGGACATGATCGTGCTTAATTACTAAAAGGAAAAAAGAAAATTAGTTAACAAAAGGCTATTACACTATACATATAGAAATATAAGAAAATAATCAAGAAGAAAAGAAATCACTTAAAGCAGACTCGAGAGATCTGTACAGTAGGAAAAGCTTTGGGGGTATTTCACTGCACATTTGTACAGACAATGCATGCTGCTTTCCTTTGCATCTTTAGCCCCTAGATGCTGGCTTCACAGAGTGGAGACGTGTTCAGGGAAGACAAAGACAAGGCCAAGAGTACCACAGATTTCTGAAGTTCTTCCCCTATCCAATGGCACTATGCGGCAGCAAACAGTTCTTAAATAGTTAAACCTTGTTCCTTTTCTTCATGTATGTAGTGTTTCACTGAAAGCTTTACAAATAAAACAAGCTATCATTCTATTCCTTCCTCCTGTCAAAATTCAGTAGTGACATGAGGGGAAAAAAGTAATGGGAACACCTAGGCGTTAACATATTGAGAATTATCCATAATAGGATACTGGTAACACTGTACACAGTTAGGCAGTGGGCAACCAAGTCTTTTAGCAGATTACTTTTCATGTGATGAATTTCAACTGCTCATGACATTATACTGAGGTATTATTAGCTCTGTGGACTGACATTTAACATTAGCACAACACCATCTTGTCACACCTTCAATTTGACAAAATCCTATGTAGCAGTGAAACTTTTTCCCGATGACAGACAAGTTTCTTGAAATTTAGATGTGGTTTTAGAGAAGATACAGGGCCATTTGGCTCAGAAATGCCTGGGCATCTCACACTGTTCACAGCGAATTAAGGCTGGATGGTTCAAAAAAGTACAGGCAGTACAATTCCACTGAGCTCCCTCATCATCTTCTGTGTCTTGAGTCTTTGGTGTTTTGATGATGGACCTTTGATCTGTAAGAAAGAAAAGAAATGGTTTTATAAGTAAGAAATCACAAAGTCTAAAAAATTACAGACAACTTTAAACACCATTTGTAGTGCACAGCCTGAGGCAGCTTGCTCCCTAAATGAGGCATCTAGCTGAAACTGACACACATGCTTGATCACTACCAACCTCTATCTAGTTGGCACTTCTCCCTCTGGGAAATACAACATGAACATGATGTAATCACCTCCATATCTCCTTAAAGGAGAAAACAGCATCATTATCTCCAATTTATAGTTGAAGGAAGGGTATCTAATTGCAAAGATTCCCATACTACTACTCAAGATTGTAAAAAGGTGTCCTGCTGCAAAACAATACTGTCACTGCACGTAAGTCTCATTAAAGTTAGAGTTTCGTTTCCCACTGCAGTAGTATTTACATTTGTTTTCTACCAGACAGGGAAGTTTTTTTGTTAATTCATGTTCTCTATCTGCCAAAAATGTAAGCCTTGGATGACACAAATAAAATATAAACTAGTATCTAACGTCTTATCCACAGACTCTGGAGAAGTAAATCTATATAAAAATTTTACCATACTTTATTTTTAAAAATCACATTTGGTATCGTAGAGTAGAAAGAACACTAGAATTTACAGTTGTGAGAATGGAGTTCTGTTCCAGGCTCTGCTACTAATTCCTGAATATTTTGCTCCGTGATCTCAGATAAATCATATACATTGTAAGTCTCTTTGTTTCTTACTTATAAAACAAAGGTCACTGGAGCTCTAAGAGACCAATGTTCTAGAATGTTTATACGGATAGTGGTATCTTAAATACAGAGAATAATTATATTCCTCAAAGATTGTCTCTAACAAGCGATCACATTTATAAAACTACTTTTAAAAATCTGGGTCGCACAATGAAATTACAACAGTATTCCTACAAATTAATTTTGGGAGGTTTAAAGTAAAAGGAGCATGCATTGTTGAATTTTTCTGGTCAAGGTTATTAATTCAAAGCATCAAACCTATGTTAAAACAATGTACATTAATATGCAAATTCTACTTACCCTACTGATATCTTTTCTATTTTAAAAGAGAGACATTGTAACAAGTAGATAAAAATATAGAAGTCAAATTTTATGACAAATTTTAAATAATTAAATGATATTTGGTATTCTGTATCCCTTTAGCACACCTTTCTTACTCATTATATAGAAATTTTCTTGCTAAGTCCTCAACTTTAGGTGTTGGCTTTCCATTGTCACAATTTTTGCCACATGCACAACTAACTTGAATAGTATCTATACAGTATTTTCCCCAAACTGAATAATTTTAAAACAAACATCAAATTAAGTCTTATCCTAAGTAAAAATATCTAAAAAAAATCAAGGATCTGACAATACCAGTTACTATGCCCAGAAACACATGAAAAGAAATACATTTTAAAAAACTTTTGACTTTTTACCATGTAAAACCATTTCACATTCCACATCTGGGAAACATTTTACAGAATAATTGTTTTAATCTGGGGATCCATCCTACTTATTAGAATTTTGGTCTCAGGCATTAGAAAACATTTTCACCTAGCACGTTTTTAGTAAAACCTTGTTGATTCTGTTTAACTGCAAAGGTTAAAATTTTAGGAAGAGTGACCATAAAGAAGTACCTTTTTACACTTCAATGTATTACTAAATGCCAGCATATTTTTCATTATTTAAGTAATATCTAAGGCAATCAATAAGGGATCTACAAATTTTTTTTTTTTTAATGAAAAATCTCCAATGTTTTCTTATAAACTCACTTGGTACTTAGAATTATGAATTTTTTTTAAAATTAGAGGTGTTTGGAAACTAAATAACCAAAAAATCGGAAAAAAGAGGAAATTAGATAACAAATAATGGTCTAAACACATTTAATTTTAGCTGTTAAAAAAATCTCTACATTGTGAAGCAGAACTGACTTCAAGGACTAAATAAATTTCTATTCATGAAGTTAATGTGTATTTTAGCCTTATTGCAAAAAATTATTGATTCCTTATTTCTCCCAAAACAGCCGGCATACAAACTTCTATCTTTCATGTAAAAACTTTTAAGTAATGGATGTTTTTACTGGACCTTTCATATTTATTATGGAAAATTTCGAACATATATAAAGGTAGAGAGGATAGCAAAATGAACATGTACTCATCCTACTTCAACAACTGTCAAGACCAATTTTATTTCACTTATGTGAAATAACAGATTATTAATCTGAAGTAACAGATTATGTTGAAGCAAAACAGGAACCTTTTCATAAGAAAAAATTCTTATTTTTCAAAAAGAGTAGGAAGATTGTATTCAGGAAACTCATTCAGTGTCTGAAATACACATCTTGCATATTTTTTAAAGAGTTAGCGCTTATACTGCTGTCATCTCTATTGCTTTATTCAATTAACATCCAAATAGCATCTAATCTCTGAACATTTGCTTACTGTGTCAAATGCCTTAATCTCACTCTGATCCTCTGTAATAACTGTTCATTGTATTCTAGCTATATTTAAAAACATTTAAATAAAATACGAGGACAGACCTACGTCTAATTATACATAAAAATGCAGGGGGCTGGGTGCGGTGGCTCAAGCCTGTGATCCCAGCACTTTGGGAGGCAGAGGCGGGTGGATCACCTGAGGTCAGGAGTTCGAGACCAGTTTGACCAACATGGAGAAACCCTGTCTCTACGAAAAATACAAAATTAGCTGCGCGCGGTGGCGCATGCCTGTAGTCCCAGCTACTCATGAGGCTGAGGAAGGAGAATGGCTTGAATCTGGGAGGCAGAAGTTGCAGTGAGCCGAGATCATGCCATTGAACTCCAGCCTGGGTAACAAGAGCTGAAACTTTGTCTCAAAAAAATAAAAAATAAAACCAACAACAAAAAAATGAAATAGAGCACAATAAATGAGAATGTGAAAGGAGAATGTGAAAATTCTTGTAACAAACTGAAGACCAGTAATATACTAGTTCTTCCTTGTTCCCATTTCTTTTTCTTTTCCTGCAATAAAACTTTATTGACAAAAACAGATGGCAGGCTGGATTTGGTCCATGGGTCACTGTTTGCCAGCCGCTCTTCTAAAACCCAATTTAACATGGTATTCCTACCAGTATGTAAGCATGTGAACAATTGCCTGATTCGTAAAATGTTTTTCTCAACCTCTCCTTTTCCTCCCCTGTGTAAGGCACTGAATTTCTCAATGACAGTAACTATACATTTTTTTTAGGGTGTCCTGTTCAGCTTCACAGGAAAAATGTACATTTTCCTGTCCACAATTCATACTTTCCTGTTCCTACAAACCATAATGTTTCTTAGGAAGGAAGAAGTAACACAAATAATTTGTATCTCTGAAGACATTTGAAAATATAAACATATGTGGAACAAATTGTAAGTCTGGAGTATTTGTTGCAGCACACTAGTGAGGATGATGTAACCCTATGAGTGCTGACCTGATTCACCATATGACTGCTGACTTCCAGAATTTGTGTGAATGAAAACTGTTGTTTTGCTGTCTTTGTTTTGTCTCCCCCACAACTTTATTGATGTATAGTTGACAGTTAAAAATTGTAAACTGTACAACTTGATGATTTATGTATACACTGTGAAATACTTATTACAGTCAAGTTAATTAACATATTCAGCACCTCATATAGCTTATCTGCCCCCAACCCCACTGTGTTGAGAACACTTAAGATCTCCTTTAGCAAACTTCAGTTATATAATAAACTACTGTTAACTAGTCACACTGTTGTACATTAGATCTTCAGAGTTTGTATTATATAGTTGAAACTCTGTACCCCTTTGACCACAATCTTTCCATACTCTCTTCTCCCAGCCCCTGGTAACCACCGTTCTGTTCTCTGTTTCTAGGAGTTTGACATTTTTGAATTCTACATATAGGTGAGATCATGCAGTATGTGTCTCTCTCTGGCTTATGTCACTTAGCATGACATCCTCTAGGTTCACCCATGTTATCACAAATGAAAGGATTTCCTTCTTTCTTAAGGCTGAATAAATATTCCACTGTGTGTGTGTTATGTGTATACCGCTCATGTTTTCTTTATCCATATACAGACATTTATGTTGTTTTCATATTTTGGCTATTGTGAATAATGCTGAAAGGAACATGAGTGCAGATTATCTCTTTGAGATACTTATTGAATTTCCTTTGGATATATGCTCAGAAGTGGGATTGCTAGATCATAAAATTTTAAAGTTTTTGAACCTCCATACTGTTTTTCATAATAGCTGCACCAACTTACATTCCCATGAAAGTGTACAAGGGTTCTCTTTTCTCTATGTCCTCATCAATGCTTGTAATCTTTCACCTTTCTCATAGTAACCATTCTGATAGGTTTGCAAGATGGTATCCCATTGGGTTTTAATTTGCATTTCCCTGATGATTAGTGAGGTTGAGTACCTTTCAATATACCTGTTGGCTATCTGTATACTTTCTTTTGAGAAATGTCTATTCTGGTCCTTTGCCCATTTTAAAATCTGGTTATTGGTTTCTATTACTATTGATTTGCATGAGTTCCTGATACATTTTGAATATAAACCCTTTAGGAGTTACATAGTTTGTGAATATTTTCTCCCTTTCTGAAGGCTGTCTTTTCACTGCTATTTCCTTTGCTGTGTAGATGCATTTTAGTTTAATGTAATCCCACTTGCCTATTTTTGCTTTTGTTGCCTGTGCTTTTTGTGTCATATCCAAAATATTACTGCCTAGACCAGGTCAAGAAGCTTTTCATCTATGTTTTCTTCTAGGAGTTTTATGGTTTCAGTTCTTATGTTTACATTTTTAATTCATTTTGAGTTTATTTTTGTATATGGTGTGAGGTAATGATTCAATTTCATTCATCTGCATGTGAATATCCATTTACTGAAGAGACTATCCTTTCCCCATTGTGTGTTCTTGGCACCCTTGTCAAAGATAAGTTGACCATAGATACATCAATTTATTTCTGGGGTCTCTATTCTGTTCCACTGGTCAATATGTCT